CGGGCAGCCCGTCTCCACCACGCGGGCAGGACTCAGGACGCCGAGTGAGAACAGTGCCTCGAGATGGGCACCGGGGCCCGGGCAGCCCGTCTCCACCACGCGGGCAGGACTCAGGACGCCGAGTGAGAAAGTGCCTCGAGATGGGCACCGGGGCCCGGGCAGCCCATCTCAACCACACTGCAGAAGAAGAGCAGCCAGCCCAAGGAAGTAAAAGAAAATCTGACTTGTGGACGCCCATAAGGAAAATACAGGGCTTTAAAAAAAAAAAAATCTTGGGGATGGGGCAGGCCTTTCTGAACATGCAATAAATCAAAAAGCCGTTAAGTGTAAAAGATTTAAGTTACATTTAAAAAAAGTTAAACCATTTGTACATCACACAAGTTAAAAGACACTAGAAGCTGAGAAAATCTGCACCACAAGCGTCAGAGGATCACATCCCTAATACGCAAACCAGCTGGAGGGTAAGAAGAGATAAGAGAAGAGAAAAGCCAGACGGGAGAGTGGGCAAGGACCATGCTGGCGATTATGAGGCTGTGAAACGAGGCTTTTCACGTAAATATGTGAAAAGACCACCGATCACAGCAAATGCAAACAGAGTCAGATCATGTGTAACCTGGCAGATAGTCAAAGATCAAACAACAGTCTGGGCGCGGTAGCTCACGCCTGTAATCCCAGCACTTTGAGAGGCCAGGGTGATCACTTGAGCCCAGGAGTTCAAGACTAGCCTGGGCCACATAGCGAGTCCTTGCTCTAAAAAAAATAATCATTAGCTGGGCGTGGTGGCGGGCACCTGCAATCCCAGCTACTCAGGAGGCTGAGGCAGGAGAATTGCTTGAATCCAGGAGTTCGAGGCTGCAGCGAGCCATGATTTCACCACTGCACTCCAGCCTGGGCAACAGAGCAAGATCCTGTCTCAAAGATAAAAAAAAAAAAAAAAAAAAAACAGATAACCCAGAAATTATGGCATAACAGGAAAAAGTGATCAGTGTGACAACAGAAAAACTTAAAACTTCTGCAGGAAATAATATCACCAAGTCCAAAGACAAAACACGATCAGGGGTCCAATGGAAGGCAGCAGGCAGTCGATGGAAACCAGCACAAGCTTGGCACAGTCTCAGGAGAGTGTGGGTGCTCCGTGGGCAGCAGTGACCGCTGCCCAGGCCAGGGGTATGGGAGGAGAGGCTCCTTTCTGTTTGGTGTCTTATTAAAAAGCTGATGCCTGAGTTACCGAGGACGGGAAGCGGGAAATGTACACACGGAACCAGCCTGTCAGCACAAAGTGCTAAGATTGAAGGGCAGCTCCCCTTGTACCGAGCTTTTCTACTTCCAGGAAAGATGTAAAGTGTATAAGACCACCTCACAGCCACTAGGATGGCCACTGTCAAAAAAACAGAACACATCAAGTCCAACAGAGTTTAAAGGAAAAAATAAAAATTAAAGAAAGAAAGAAAAACAGAAAACAACATGCACTGGCGAGGATGTGGGGACCCCGGAGACCTCCCGTACTGCTGCTGAGAATGTAAGATGGCGTGGGCGCTGTGGGAAACAGGATGGAGGTTGCTCAAGACCATATGATCCAGCAATCCCACTTCTGGGTTTGCACCCAAAAGAACTGAAAGGTCTCCAAGAGGTATCTGCACGTCTGTGTTCACTACTCACAGCACTATTCACAACAGCCAAGAAGCAGAGGCAACTTGGGTGTCCATTGACAGATGAATGGATAGACAGAAGGTGGTATGCCTGTGCAATGGAATATTACTCAGCCTTAAAAAGAAGGAAATTCAGATACAACATGGATGAACAGAGTTCCAGATATGGATAGTGGTGATGGTTTCACGACATTATTAACATATCGAATACCATTGAACTGTATACTTAAACATGGTTACAGTGGGGCGGGCGTGGTGGCTCACGCCTGTAATCCCAGCACTTTGGAAGGCCAAGGCAGGTGGATCACCTGAGATCAGGAGTTTGAGACCAGCCTGGCCAACAAGGTGAAACCCTGTCTCTACTAAAAATACAAAAAAATCAGCCAGGCGTGGTGGCAGACGCCTGTAGACCCTGCTACTCAGAGGGCTGAGACAGGAGAATCGCTTGAAACCCGGGAGGCGGAGGTTGCAGTGAGCCGAGATTGCACCACTGCAGTCCAGTCTGGGTGACAAAGTGATACTCTGTTTCAAAAAAAAAAAAAAGTTAAAGTGGTAAATTTTATACTATGTCTGTTTTATCACAATGAATAATAGGAAAAATGTGTCAGAAGCACTTCTGATGGTAAACAGATGCACCTTGAAGGTTTTCACTGCAGCATTGATAATGATGAAGAAGAGAAACTACTGAGATGCTCATTAACACGAGAAAGGTCAAAGGAATTACACTACATCCATTCAAGGGAATCCAGTCCTGACCCCACACAAAGATGCCCTGCTAAGTGTGAAACAATGACAAGCAGAGCACGTGACACACCACTCACACACACACACCACACACATCTGCACGCACACCATGCACATTCGGGCACACACAGAGGTGGAAACCCTTTTCCACTGGTATTTTCTCCTGGGGAAGGCTCGAGACTGCTATTGACCAAGCCTCTGCTGCCCTCTGGTGGCCTCTCTGGTCCCTGCCAGCATGAAGTCTCCACACCCCACACACAGGCAGGAGCTGCCTGGACCTGGGACCTCGGGATGGCCCCCTCTGTGGGCATCGGAATGCACTTAGTGACTCTGCACATGCTCTCATGGGGAGTGAGAGCCACTCTCACACTGCCAGCCTCCCTTCCACAACCAAGATGTTGTTTCTGAGGCCTTTGGAGTCTTTGTTAGATTTCAGGGAAACCCAATGTACAAACCGGAAGACGGTGCAGGTGTTAGTTGAGGGCTGGGATAGGGATTGCTGGCTCTCCCCTCCTTAATGTTCTCCCTGATGTCCTTGATGGAACCCACTGGAACCCCAGGGCTCCTGGGAACCCCATTTGACAACCACTGACCTAGATAACAAACAGCTGACACCCTTTATACGGCATTCTTGTTATTACCTCCAAGGCAGCCACAGGACAAAGTACATCAACAGCCCTGCAGAGGGGCACAAGTCACAGGCATATTGTCTCGTTTTGAGACAAGGTCTCACTCTCCCAGGCTGAGCGTGGTGCAATCACAGCTCACTACAGCCTGAACCTCCTGGGTTCAAGCAATCCTCCCACCTAGCCTCCCAAGTAGCTGGGACTACATGGTGCACAGTACTAAGCTTGGTTAATATTTTCAGATTTTTGTAGGTTGGGCGAGGTGGCTCACGCCTGTAATCCCAGCACTCTGGGAGGCTGAGGCGGGTGGATCACCTGAGGTCAGGAGTTTGATACCAGCCTGGCCAACATGGTGAAACCCCATCTCTACTAAAAATACAAAAATTAGCTGGATGTGGTGGCGGGCCCTGTAATTTCAGCTACTCTGGATGCTGAGGCAGGAGAATCACTTGAGCCTGGGACGCGAGGGTTGCAGTGAGCCGAGACTGCACCACTGCACTCCAGTCTGGGCGACAGAGCGAGACTCCGTCTAAAAAAACAAAATAACAAAAACAAAAAACAACAGATTTTTGTAGAGTCAAGGTCTCACTACATTGCACAGGTTGATGCTGATCTCGAACTCCTGGCCTCGAGCAATCCTCCTGCCTCAGTCTCCCAAAGTGCTAGGCTAACAAGCATGAGCCACCATGCCTGGCGACAAACAACAGGCCTTTTTTCCTTTTTTGGGTAAACCGGAAAGAAAGTTCTAGGAGCCAAGGACCAGCACGGGCTCTCAGGGCCCAGTGCTCACTCTGGTGAACAAAAAGAGGACCCCACCACGCACGCAGCAGGCCTTACGTTTTTCCAGGGGATTCCTTCAGCCAGAAGATGTCATCACTTGTGATTCCATATTCCAAGGCACCTTCGATCTGTCAAGACAGAAATGACCCCTGGGACAAGAGCTCCATTTGGCCTGTCCTGGGGCTTCCTTAAACAGGATGCCAGCTTTGCAGAATCAACCAGAGCTGTCCCAGGGCACACATGCACAGGGCTTCCCTGCTGCCAGTCCTTGCGTGCAGGCTGTGGCCTCTTTGGGGCTGCAGGTGGCCTGTCTGCATCTAAGCTGCTGTGCTCCAGGGCCCGCTGCCCTCGCAGGGTACCATTCCCCTCTGTTCCCCAGGACCCTCCCCTTGACCCTGGTTCAGAGCAGGATACAGGGCCTGAGGTGGGTACAGCAACTGCAGGGGCCATACAGGCAGACAGCTGGGCCCCCTCAATCTGCCTGCGTTCTGGACAGACGCACTAAACGGACAGGGGCATGCAGTCCCAGGGAGCAACACCTGGGTTCTGGGGGGTCCAAACTCAGAGAGGGGAAGTGGGGAGAGAACAGGTCAGCAAACCAGGGCCAGCAGAGCTCAGGTGTGTCTGCGTGGCAGGGGTGGCCTGCAGGGCCAGCCAGAGGAGCGGAGGCACAGGGGGTAAGTACCACAGGCTGAGGTGGGCAGGGCCTGAGGGGCAGCTCTGAGGACACCTGGCTGAAGCCAGGACAGACTTCACACTCTCAAGGGCTGGCCCGGGTGGGCTTTGAGCCCGGAAATCAGACAGGTCACCTGAAGAGGGGCGGCCAAGCAGGTGGGAGGCCCAGGGTGAACATCCCCTTAGCGGCCCTGAGAACAAGATGTGCTGGTGGAGGAAACGGATCTCAAACAGTTTACGCTTCCAATTGGCAAAAAAAATAAAGTCAGGAATTTCTCAGGTTTGCTCAAGGAAAACCGAAAGGTCTGGCAATCAAAGGGACTAAAACGCAAGCAAGCCTTGGCAGACACCCTGGGAGGGCGTGGCGGGGAGGGCGGACAGGCTCTGAGCTGCCTGCCTCCTATGGACCAGGAGCACCTGCTGGATCCCCTATGAGCCCAAAGAGCCATCAGCAGCTGCCTGTGAGGTACAGAGCAGGGCCGGGCCAGGCCAGGGCTCCTGTGCAGGGCTCCCTGGTGCGGATGCACGTGCAGCTCTGCCTGGGGCCTCAGAGAAGCCCAATGACCACTGGGCTGCTGGAAGCTGGCTGTGGCCTTCTTTAAGCACAACCACCATGAGCCCAGCTGCCAGGAGAGGGGATCACCTGGACCCTGTCTGCGGCAGTTGCCTTGAACAATCTCACAGTATCATCCTACAGAGCCACACAGCCCTGAGCCCCACCTCTGTGCATAAGCAACTTGCCCCCGCTAGAGGTTGCTGTGGCTGCTTGGCGGCCAGAGAAGTCCCGTGGCCTCTAAGGACTGGGAGTGCTTGTGCTCCTTGGGGCCCCTCCTTTCCCTGTTCCCACAGTAAGCACAGGATGAAGTGGAGGCTGGGGTCATGTCCAAGAGGCGGCAGAATCTCCCCTTGCTCCACCTCCACTGGACTGCCCCTGGGTCTAAGTCACAGGTGGTGTGGCCTCCAGGCTGAGAGACCCGTGGTCTTCAAAAGCTTGGCTGCAGCCTACTTAGAGGCTTGGAGCAGGCGGCACACGGTTCCCTGGGAGACCTATAAGGGCTGGTCTCAGCCAAAACTCTCTGCCCACCCCCAGCCCATTTGCTTTCCCTGCCACAGCTGCCCCCCAGCCCCTCACCCTGGGGCCCCTTCCTCAACTCTGCCCCCACAACCCACAAAACTGGGCCAGGAGTTATTCACCTCTCTGTTAAAGACAGTGATAAAACTGGCAAGAACTGTGAGATTCAGAATTATGGAAATTAACCACAGGCTCGCAGCAACACAGGGAACATTTAAAGTCAGGAGAAACAGCTGAAGCTGAGTGAGAATGGGAGCTTCAGGGTGTTTTAACTCACTCTGGTCCCACTCCCACCTCAGCGGCAGCCTGAACAGTGACGTGTCAGAGAAAGCAGAACCCAGCTGGGGTCTTTCAAAGCCCCTCCCAAAGAAGAGTCAGAGTCAGCACCTGACCCTGACAGGGGTTCCCGAGAAGACCCCTCAAAAGGGTCATCTTTATCCGACTTCACTGGAGCTCAGCCAGGGTTAAAAGCCTTTCTCTGGGGGGCATTTGTCTGAGGTTTTCATCTCACAGCTGCCTGAGGGGATAGGTAACAGTTGGAGCCAACAACAGACTGTCCAAAAAAGCTTCAAAGGAAAAGCCAAGGAATGAGATGTCCACTGGAGCTTTGAAAGGTTCCAGCATATTCCTGGGAACCTAGACCAGGCACACACACGGCACTATGCACACATCAGGAAGGACCAAGGAGGCCCTGAGCCCTCACCTCCAGATGACCTTGATCTCTGCACAGGCAGGAAGTGAGGGCTAGGGCAGAGCTGCCTGCTGTCTGCTGAGTACGGAAGGCATCCCCTCCAAACGCTCATGGAGCCCTCAGCAAAGACCGGGAGAGCGCTTAGTTTAGGGAAATCTCCATGCAGTTCTTAGCTGACCACTAAGCTAACAAGTAGAGACTTCAGTGGCCTCATACAACAAAGAATAAGAGTCGACAAAGTCAGTTCCGAAAAGTCACCAAATAAGCAGCTGTAACAACAGAATCCTGGGGCAGAGGGATAATCTGGTTTCCAAAGTTACCATATTAAATTATTTGAAATGTTCAGCTTTCAATTAAAAAAATTACAAGATACGTGAAGAAACAAGAAACCATGACCCTTACACACTGCTGGAAGGAATGTAAAATGCAGTCATTGTGGAAAACAGTCTGAGGTTCCTTGAAAGGTTCAACATAAAGCTACCACATGGCCCGACAGTTCTGCTCCTAAGTGTAACCCAAGAGAAGTGAAAACTGAAGTCCACCAAAAAACTTCTTTGCAGATGTTCACAGCAGCACTATTCATAATAGCTAAAAAGTGGAAATAACACGTGTTCATCAACAAGCAAGTGGATTAACAAAATGTGGTCTATCTATACAATGGAATAGTATCCAGCCATAAAAAGGAATGATACTGACACACACTACAGTGTAGGTGAACCTGGAGGTCGTTATGCTCAGTGAAGTAAGCCAGTCACTAAGGGACACACACGTATGATTCCAGTTACATGAGAAGGACTAACGTGTACAATTCCACTTACACGAGGTGCCTAGTGTTGTCAAATTCATAGAGACAGAAAGTAGGTGGTGGTTGCTAGGGGCTGGGGGAGGAGGCACTGGGGAGTTAGGTTTAATGGGAATAGAGTTTCAGTTCAGGGATGATGGAAGGAGTGCTGGCAATAGATGGTGGTGACTGATGGCCACACAGCTCTGTGAATGTACTAAAAACCACTGAATTGTACCCTATAAAAGGCTAAATTTTATAGCCTGTAAATTTTATTTCAAACTTTTTTTAAACTGGGGGAGGAGAAGGAGGAAGATGAAGAATGAGGCTTATATCCTGAATGTGCCAACATTCTGAGGCTGAAGGGAAAAGGGGGAATCAGCAATGGAGACTTAGGAAGCAGGACGCTGGGGTGGAAGGGGACAGATCCAGCGGGGCAGAGGGAGAGCAGAACGAGAGCTGTCCTGAGGATCTGGCAGCTTGGAGGCCACTGGGGACCCCACATTTCAGCTGTGTGGATTCAAGAGCATTGGAAAGCAGAAAGTGATGACAGTGAGTATAGGGGGAAAGGGTGTGCAAGCCGCTGCCGTGGAAGCACGCATGTAAAAGCACATCCCTCAAAGAGACCGGGGACCCGAGCCAGTGCAGCAGGGACACTGTGCTCTGGGGACACTCACGTGCATGGGGTACCTCGGGCGCCCTCCAGTAGCAATGATGATGTGGTCAGCTGATAGCAGAATCTGAGAAGAAAAAGAGAAAGCCACGGGTCAGACAGGTGCATGGTGGTCACTTACTGGAGGGCCTGAGCACTACAGACCTTGGCCAGCAGTTCCCATAGCCCCTGCCCTGCAGTGTGGACCCTCGGCTAGCAGTTCAGAGGCCCTGTGGAGCTGGAATCCCATCAACGGTCAGCCAGGCAGGAGGGGGACAGGCAGAGAGGACAGGGAGATGTTCTAACACCAAGCACTTCAAGGCACCCTCAAATCCCCAAAAAATCCTGCAAAGAGGGTGTGGCCACCAACCCTGTTGCCATATCACTCTGAGCAGCAGCGCAGCAAACTATTTCATCATGTTAAAGACAAGTGCCCAGGCTCAAAAGAAGCCACCTTGTCGATTCCAGCAGCACGTGTTACTGAGAACAGCACCCAGGCCAAACACAGCTGCAGTTGGTGCCCAAGGTCTACAGAAGAGTCCATAAGGAGCCACACAAGTAAGTCAGATGCTCACCTCTTTCCCACCTTTGGCAACGCCGCAAACCGTGTGCTCGTCAACAAAGCTGGCTTTGATGTTAAAGTACTTGACTTTTCTGAAAGATAAAGATAAGATTTTCAAACATTTCCTCTGCAAATTAAACCTCACCAATTGTATCAAATAGGGAGCACTGGTAAAAGGGAGTTCCAGCCCCCAGCAAGGCCTGGTGCTGTGGCTCAAGTGGACCAAGAAGTAAGCAGCAACCACACTGAGAAGCATGGAGGGGTTGTGTGGGCACCTCGCCTGTCCCCCAGGGATCCCAGAGACATGTTAACCACATGTGTAAAAGCAGGGACAGAAGCCAGCTCAGCACAGTCCGGAGAGGCCACGTACACCCCTGGTGTGCAGCAAGAGGTGGGTGGACCTCTCTTGGGGACAGTCCTCATCACCCAGACATGTTCCAGCAGGGAGCTGTGGTGCCCACCAGATGGTGTCACCTTCTGCCTTCAGGGGTGTGGTAACACCAAGAGAATGGGCATGACAAGACTGGCAAAACGGTGGCTGGGAGCATGGTGCACAGAAACAAAACAACCCATGCTTTCTTCTTCTTTTTTTTTTTTTTTTCTGAGACAAAGTCTCACTCCGTCGCCTAGGCTGGAGTGCAGTGGCATGATCTTGGCTCACTGCAACCTCCACCTCCCGGGTTCAAGTCATTCTCTTGCCTCAGCTCTTGCCTCAGCCTCCCGAGAAGCTGGGATTACAGGCTTGCGCCACCACGCCTGGCTAATTTTTGTATTTTTAGCAGAGATGGGGTTTCGCCATGTTGGCCAGGCTGGTCTTGAACTCCTGACCTCAAGTGATCCA